TGGAATTTGGGGCACTGACATTGAATAACTGTGTGAAAACAGGCAGTGAGAAAGCACTTAAACCCAGAATGTAGCCCAATTCACTCACAAGTAGGAAGTGAATAGTTTATTGGATTTTGTTCTGGAGTCAAATGCAGTGAAGAGAGCAGAAAATTTCCCTGTACACATTTTAACCTCCCTCTCTCTCTCTCTCTCTCTCTCTCTCTTTCTCTCTCTCTCTCACACACACACACACACACAGATGAGTGTTTAAATATATAGTCATCTTCCGTAACAGTGAGTAATCTAGGCACATCTGTTGAGGAGCAATCTGTCGATAGAATGATTTTTACTAGGTCAATCTTTTCCGAATCAGGAACATGCAGGTAGGTAGAAACACTAACACACTGAACAAAATGAAGTCCAACGTAAAGGTGTCATTTAGCACAACCTGCAGTCACCTCATGGTTTTAGACATATCGAGAGAAAATTAAGCCACTAACTAGACTCAAATAAAACGGACTTTAATTCTTAATGCTACAGAATACAAAGACATTCTAGACAATTGTGTGATTCCGACTTTGTGGCAACAGTTTGGGGAAGAACCATACATGTTTGTGCCATATAGGAATCTTTATAGGTGAAAACACTCATAGGTGAAACTCACAGGTGAAATGCTGGCCAATGACTTGCTGACTTTTGTCATGATGTGTTACATGAACATATACTTGGTCGTGTCTCTTAGTCTGTATTAATGTGCTAGCTAACTTGCTAGTATATGTTATTAATACTTTATTAAATTAGTGAATCAGCTACCACATTTTAGCCTAGTTATTTAGGTTTCTGTACAACAAAAGCATGGAACTGGGCAGCGTAAAGCATAGGGCTGATTTGTCAAGGGGCTATATTTTATGATTTCCAGCCTATGTTTAGTTTTTAGTATAACTTTAGTATAACTTGCAATCACATCTTTGTGATTATGTTTGGTTGTGGTGCTTTAAGGATAAATACTGGGTAAACATTTTGTGGTATTTTAGTTTGTACTATTTTAAGTTTTGTTTATTATACATTTGGGTAAAATATTCCAGGCCCTGACTTATGAGATCCAGTGGATCAGTGGAAACTTCAACAACCCAAACCACACAACATGAATATTTAATTTTACATTTGCATGGGACTGTCTCAACCAATCAAACACCTCATTTATTATCCACCACCCACTCTTTGCCATAGCGACAAGCATGGTTCTCTCTTGTGGGAGAGGAAACATCTCCATGCTCCATCAACAGTAATTATCAGCATTCGTGAGAAGGAAAACTATTACTGCTAATGCTGAGAGAAAGTTATATCTGCACAGATGGCTTCATGCTCTTTCTCCTCCTAGCTCTGCAAAATCCTCAGAGAGTTCTCTTCAGCAGATTAGCGCTGTCAACTGACAAAGACAGGCAGCTGGTGCTCCTCCCCTGCATCTTGTCTTTTAGACTCATGTGATGCAATCATTCCCACTGATACACTTTGAGAGGACGAGCTGTGAAGTTCTGAATGGCTCACTTGCCTCAACAGAGTCTTATAAAGTCCAAGCCACTGTGTTTTTCTGAAGAAGCTAATATTTATGATGGGTCCTTGCTAACAGAGTAAGTCCCAAAAAAAAAAAATGATTTAGTGTATCTCTTTGAAAACACTATTACAAGTTTATTATTCCTCTATCTGTTTGATTAATTCATTCATCTGTATCTCCTCTGTAAATTGCATTGCTGTTCAATGACAGCTACAGACTCCACTGGTATAAATCCAGGTTATGAGATTAGGCATCATTAGAGCATAATCTTACAGTTTGAATACGTATATTATTCAGTCAGTAAAGGTATGGATACTACTGTGATGAATCTTGCATGAGTGCCAAGATCTTGTGGGCCATAAGGAAGTAGAGGCCAAACACAGGAGCCATGTGGGTAAAGCCTGCAGTTCAGACAGGATGGCTCCCAACTGCATTGCCTGGTGAAAGAACACCTCTATAAAGGTAGCGGTGACAAATTATGAGAAGTTTACATGTATCTAAGGAATATTTAAGAGAGAATTTGAACAAAAATCCTTAAATATGGGTTCGGTTGTCCACTGGAATCACACTGTGTAGCCTTTGTAGAGTATTGTTGCTGTTACAAAGTTTAAAACATTCAGTTTTTCACTTTCCTGACACTGATCAGCACTAGTCCATTTCATTTCCAACAGATGTTACAAACACTGTTTGCTCCCAGTGCTACCCCCTGAAACGACAGAAACAACAAAAATGTAAGCCTTTCTAATAACTCAAAGGGAAGCTTTTCTCAGACCTTCTTTAGATGACTTGGTTACACTACAAGCTTGTAAGAGGAGTTAACTGCAACACATTACCATGAGTAAATCATGATTTTTGCTAACCCAGGTGAGCTGAGGACAGATTTAATAGCATGTCATAAGAGAGTATCCAGATACTGATTTTAGACACACATCACTTATTTGCACTTAAAAATAATCCACATAAATCATTACATGTCAGAACACATACTCATCTCTTATTTGCACTTTGGACAGGATTGGGCAGGATACAATATATAATATCCTACATACACAACATTTTATGTAAATATTGAATGTAAGAGAAATTGAGGAGAATAGCTAATCATCATAAGAACAAAGCCCTGCTGATGATGGATAGAGCAGAAGTGGGTTAACAAAGCGCATATTTAATATCTGGAAAATACAACAGTGTGAAGAACACCACATTCTGGCTAGAACACCACACCATAAACCATGAGGAACATGAGAGCATGAATGCTTTCTTTTGCCCCTTGGTGCTTCACAGTCAGATGGAGTGGGTATGTTTGAGGATGGGTGTGAAAGAAAATAAATGCTTCACTTAGCCTTGCCATATATTGCCATTTGTAAATATTCAATTCTCTCTCACCAGCTCTCTCTTCATGGTGATGTACATCCATCTCTTAGCTTTTAGGTCTGATTTTCCTGTCCTCTTTTATGTGTATTGGGGAAAAGAAACAGCAACTTTCTCTATCTTTCTTTTTCCCTGTCTTACTCTCTCTCTTGCCCAAGGAGTAAAGACAAGTTTTCATCCCATGGTGCACTTGGAAATCTTAGGGGGACCTGAGGACTGTCTGAAAAAGCCATCAGGCCTTGTGAATCCAGTCAGTCAGGAATCCACCCTACGCTATCCTGACACAGCACTTATCCCTGTCCTCCTTGTTTCTATCCCTCTCTCCATCTCTCTTACTTAGTGATAGATGAGTTAGGACAGTGTGAAGACGTGCATTTATCCTTACAGAAAATGTGCATTAGGCCAAGAGCTGTCTGTTACAGGCCTGAACAGATTTTTTCCTAAGTCAGTGTGTGTGTGTGTGTGTGTGTGGTGTTGTATATACATGTTAATGGTATTAGTTTCCTACTGTTTGCTTCCTAATTTCCTAACAAATCATGTAATGTAGTCAGATTCAGTTTAAAGCTCAATTCAATGCCACAATATATCTAAAATTAATGATCTGATCAATGCCAAGATAAATTATACTTCTTACTCCAGAACTAGGATGTAACAGCAACACAGGAACACATATAGCAGGGTATGGCTGAAGAAAAGAGAATGTGTCTATATAATGTAGGTGTATGTGCATACTTTATTGCAACACTGCACTAAATAACTTAATTTAACTCAATTGACAATAAATCATGCTTAATTGATAAAACATCCATGGATTCCAAGTGATACCAGTTGGCTGGATACATGAACCAGTGTGGAATCAGCACTTCTTGAGAGATGTTGGCCTTTCCTTTTTTCTAATTTCAACCATATGATGTGTGAGCAATAAACAAGGTGATGATTCAAATAACAATTCATGTGCTTTTGGTAAATGGTTCCTCAGTACACAGTCATCACAATCCCTCAGTAAGGGCCATGCGTAACAGATCAACCTTTTTTGGAAAAAACACTGAAACATTACAATGCATTCTTAAAGGCCACATCTGTACTTCTTAATGTACCCTTCATTTGAACTTTGGCCACTCAGGAACTAAGGGCCATATTGAGAGTTGGCAAGAAGATTTCCAAAAGTTATGGAAATATATACATGGGGAAAGTTACTCCTATTTATACTATGGTTACGCATTTTTTTTCATTAGCATCTGGACAACCACCTTTAAACATAAGCGCTTGCCTTTAAGCCTGAAAAAATTGGCAAATAGAAAACATGGAGTGAAGGAGCAAATTACTGGAGCAAGCACCCATCTGCTACTCTTTAAGTAAGTGTTATTAATTTTATCCATAAAATATTCAGTCTTCATGATAAGCATAATTGGATAGTGTCTCCTCTTATTAAAAAAAGTTGAAACTGAGACACGCCTCTGTTTTGGGCAAATTCCACTTTGTATATGCCATTCATGTAATCAGAACTCAATCAAATACATTTTCTTCTGTGAATTAAGAAATAAGAACAAGAGCAGAGATGACACAGTAGCACAGATCACAGTGTTCTACTCTATAAAACCCCTTTTTTTATTGAAAGATTTTTAGTGAGATTAGAGATTAAAGAACCTCAGATTTACTGTTTGATTTTTCAAATATTTCAAGTATAACAGAGACATATTTATGTTAATCATTTTTAACCTTAATTTTTAACCACATGATCTATACGTCATAAAAATATCCAGATCTCATACAGTTTTTTTAGGCAGCAAAAGCTATGAAAGTATAATGAAAGTATATAACCATCCATTCTCTGTACCACTTATCCTACACAGGGTCGCGGGGGAGGCTGGAGCCTATCCCAGGGGGCTTGGGGCATGAGGCAGGGGACACACTGGACAGGGTGCCAACCCACTGCAGGGCACAATCACACACACACACACACACACACCCATTCACACACTGTGGACAATTTGGAAATGCCAATCAGCCTACAGTGGACTGGGGGAGGAAACCAGAGTACCCGGAGGAAGCCCCCGCAGCACGGGGAGAACATGCAAGTGCCACGCACACAGGGCAGAGGCAGGATTTGAACCCCCAACCTTGGCGGTGCGAGGCCACAGTGCTAACCACTAAGCCACTAAGCCACCATGCCCCCCTGGATTTAGAATAAATTAGCTTTAAATAGATTAGTATAATAAGAAAAATCTACAAAGCTGCTTCCTTTTAGTGGCAAATCTCCAGCCCAACCTTTTACTACACCCTTCCATGACTGCAGCATATGGACAGACGTTTCCTGTCTGAGCTTGTGACTAGGTCACACACTTCACATTCACACACAGGCATAGTGTGTACACACGAGTGACGTGAGAGACAAATAAAAGAAAAACTAACATAAAGTGTATAGTATAGTGTTGGGCAAACACAAGCCACAAGAAGAGCTTCTGGTCTCTGGAACTGTACTGAAGGGATGAACACCATTCCTCCTAAAGATATTCCTTCACAAACCCTAACAGCAAAATGCCCCCACTGCATAAGTCACTTTGTTTTCTCAGTAATCATAGCAACGTGTCTGCAAGTACACACACCAGCAAAGCATTAATCACTGAAAATCCAACAGCACTTGCCAAGATGAAACAAATCTGACAAAGAAATCCCCACATTAGTTGATACTTGTTACCAGTGATGGCTGGTTGTAATATTAGATGAGAGGGCTAAAATGTAATATCTATTGATAGCTTAGCAATGAAACTATTATTGTTGATCAGTGTATTATATAACAAGGTTTCATCAACAGCATAATAGGAATGCTATGGGGCAAATTATTATACACACACTTAAAGACATATAGGCAAAGACATATAATGCTCTACTGGGTTTATGCCATGGTTCCTCTGAATACCAAACATGGTAACAGACAAGGTAAGTTGTAACCCTTGTGTTCAAAACCAAAAAAAACACTACCATAATGGTTCTGTCTGACAACGTGGGCTTAGTCTATCCACTGTTAGTTTCTCATCCAAATGCATTTTGGTTTCGAAGAAAAGGTAGTGTAAATAATCTGCCTTGTTTGTGTTCATTACACCCATGACTGTATTTCACATGCACCTTCTCAATCACTGCTGATGATGTGTTACAGATGTGTCAGTGAAGTAGGCTGAAAAATATCAGCCCAAATGGAAAGTAAATCCAGGGGGTGTTTCACTCTGTGCAATCACCTGACATGACTGTCACTGACAGGCTTCAGGACTTGACAGTCTGTGTTAGAATACACCATTCTGTGTATTTTTCTTAAGCTCATTGGTACTGCTATTGTTCCTGGTTCCATAAAAGTCCACAACAATCTGTTTTTGTTAACTGCAAATAATCTGCTGTGGATACCAGAAATTAAACCTTATATTGTTACATTGCAAAGAAAAGCTAAAAGCTAATGCTCTTGAGGTTTGAGGTTTATGTCTTCCTGACTATAATGTCTAATATTAATTTTGCCTGATTATATCCCTAACCCTAGCTTTTTTCTTCACACTCATACAATACAGAAACATCTGCTGAAAATTATATGTTTAACACTGAATGTTTGTGTCTGGCTCCATTTTCCTTTGCTGATGTATAATTTTTCAAAGATATATCATCACCCAATTAACACTTTCATTAATGCTGGATGTAGACATTTAAATTTCACAGCAAAATTTACAATTTTCACATTTTATTTTATGGTGTAACTAATATTAGGGAGAAAGATTAATTTAGAGAGCAACAATTACTCTAGAACAGAAAACACCAATGTTCCCTATGGAAAAGGTGTAAATGTGAAATAATTCATGTGAACTGAGGAACGGCATGAAAAGAATGGGAAGACGGAGAGCAACAGAGGCAGGGATGAACACCTTCTGCCACTCCAGCATGGCCACAGAAGCTCACATTAATCCAGCCCTCTTCACTATTGCTTTCTCTTTTGCTTCTCTCTAAATGAGAGAAAGCTCTCACATCATTAATCCCAGTGTTAGTTTCTGGGTGAAGAAAGAAATTGTTACTTTAGAAATGACTTTCTTTGTTTTTATTCTCTTAGCTAGATCAGGAAGTATGGTGATCACTTTGCTCTAAGAGCAGTATCTAGATCCGAAGATCTTCAAACCACAGATGTTCCCTCTGTATTAAGGACAATCACTAATAGGGGAGGAAGAATTCTAGCTGAGGGTCACTTCGATTTAAAGTTGACCAATAGACACTTAATGTCTACTTGAAAATGCGTCAAGATTCATTAGCAAAGATGGAAAGACTGTAAAATGATAGATTGCAAAGAAAAGTAAAAAGTAAATTATTTGGAAAAGTAAGCTAAGATGTTCTTCATGCCTGTAGGTGGATTAACTAATCTAAATTGCCCCTAGATATGAATGAGTGCGTTAAAGGGTGTGTGTTCATGCCCTGCTTCAAGCAAACCTTTTAAATTGCATATAGAATAATATAGTGCATAACACTAATGCAGCAGGTGTTCAATTAATTGTTAAGGGAAACATGCAAAAAAAAAAAAAAGATTTTTAACTGGGCTTGTTCAGTGAATTGTCATAGCCTTAATTAACTAATACTTTAAGCAGTAGACTACACTCCTTAAAGAGTAGGTTTTCTGGAATGGAGTCTGCCATGACATTCGAGTAGCTCATATCACCATGACAAATCTTCAGAAGCATTGCAGAGGCAGAACATTTCCACATGCATATTCCAATAAATCACTTTTACTGGATTTTCAACTCCATTGGCCAGAGTCTGCATGTGAGCCAACACTAGCACAGGAGGCAGTAATAATTACAGCACATGAGACAGAATTTGTCAGCATATGAGTAAGAAAAAACAATGCAGTGTCAAAAGTCCTTGTGCCTCTTCTTCCCCAAGTTTACTGATGGATTACCAAGTGTATTGATCATACACTTTATACACTTCATACACTTCTGTACAGATATCCTGACTCCTGACCATGTGCATTTCAGCAATGGGGATCAGTGAGTCAGACAGTCTGTGAGCGAAAATTCCTCTTCTAGGCTGACCTGCTTGGAATGAACTTTATATTTCATGTGAACACCAATGCTGGTATGGCATAATGCTAAAGTTTTAATTATTATAGATTTTAGCATTGCAATCTGACTATATTTATTTGGGCTGCTGTTAATTTGGAACTATGCATTTTAATTTCAAGGTAGCTAAATTAGAAATATAAATACTTTTTTTTCTGGAACTGTACTCTTATATACACTATGAGTATATGGACAGCCCATTCATTAAATATTCCAGTATATGATCCAACATATCAACTGACTGCGCTTGAAAGATGTAGTATAATTATGTTATCCTACACTGATCTCTGCTGCATCTGTGTGACTGACAGAGAGACAGGTAAACTGCAGGGCATGGGGGTGCAGTAACACTGGTCTCATCACTATTCTATCATGATGTGTGTCACTATACTGAGTCGCACTTACTACCTCACATGCTCGTCTTTGGCCCTCATATGCATTCGGGGCCATGTGGGACAGCATTTGCATTAGAAAGGCGAATACAATCACTTTAATTTTTAACAAGACATTCTGAACGAGCCACAAAGACTGGAATCCTAGCGACTGAAAGAACCTGGGAAGAAGAAGAAGAGGAGAATTATTATGCAGGGAATTAAAAGAAAAGCTGGGGGTTGATGTCGGTGCTGACATCAATCAAGTGCTGCAAGCATCTCCGAATGAGGGAGGAATGCACAGCCTCTGTTTCCAATAAAAATAACATTAAAGCAAATCCGCCATTAATCTCGGATATTCATCAAGCTTGGTCTTAAGGAATTAATCAGTAGTTGATTGCCCTACAAACAATCATAAATAAATAAACATCCCAAACAATGTTCTACTCTTGGGCTCAAGTCAATACCTCATTAAACCTGTACTTGTCTTCAGGGCAAGAGCTAGATGTGGAGTAAAGGCTATGATTACTGGGCCTATTTGCATTCTGCGGATGTAAATGATAAAAGTGTTGACGAATCACGTACTTCTCATGAAATGTTCATCATAAAAACAATGCTAAAATTAATAATGAATAGAATTAGATTAGAGTCTTTATCAAGCCAGTAATGCTGCTTTTTATTGAGAATTTTTACTTTTACTTTTAATGCTAGGACACAGGGAATCAGGGTTTATCCACCAAGAAAGCACTTTTCCTTTGTCAGGTCCAGGATGTGTTTAAGAGTGTAGATGAGTGGCGCAAAAAATGAAAGTAGTAATTATATTTTGATAAGTGCTTAGATTTCACACATGCAGCATAGTTAAAATGAGGAGATGAAAATACTGCAGACCCCGTGGCAGGTCTGGATGGGAAACTCTAGCTTCTAGCTCAATATCCGAGACCGAAAGTTAATTTGTTTCCATGTGTACTCCATATTTCTTTCTCCTCCTTTTAGCCTGCCCTCCTGTTCAGTGCCGGACTCCTGACAGGTACAGGTCATGCCCACTGAAAGAGTGTCCCTGAATAACTGATTTTTCCAAGGCCTGCCAAGCACTACACTGTTCATCAATGCCTCAGAAGTGTCATGCTGTTTATAGAATAAACAGCTATATTACAAAACCTCTGAAGGAAAATTTGTAACATATAGATTCAGAGAGTGACACTGTGAAATACTAAAAGTAAAGATTGACCAGTTTTTGTTAATATGAAACAAAAAGGTGGTTTTGGTCCCAGTCACATGACCTCCATCTGTTATTTGCACCCATAGCTGTACACAGACTTGCCATCCTGAGGCTCCCCGAGCATGTGAGAGGGTTTGGGGTGTCTGTTTCCATTGTTTGTTGGTATTAAAAAAAGAGATCTGGGTCAGTGGGATGTTCATTGCTAAGTAGTTAACAGAATGAGGGTTGAATTACTGAAGGGCTAATGTTCAGTCTCCACATTCATGAGGTACAGCAGTGAAAAGGAAAAATTCCATCAGGTTCAATGCCATGTCCTCATTTGTGCAGTGGGGACCCTTCATCTATCCCAAAGGCAGAAAGAAAAAAGCTTTTGTTAGGGAACAAGGGGAAGAAGAAATGTCCTTGTGGCTCGCTTGTTAGCGCTGACAGCTGGCATAATCTTTGGAGATTACCTTTCTGTGGCAATAATTAACAGGGCAGATGTCGAG